ATGCATTCCAGCCATCATTAAAACTAACACAGGCGACCTTGCTGGAGAAAAAGTAACATGCAAATTTACATGATCAAAATTGTTCAATGTGTTTCCCATTTTCTTGCCCGAACATCAAAATGGACAAAAATGACCGCCAATTGTGATGTGCTGACACATTCTGTAATCAAGATTTGAGAAAGAATCAGGCATCAGAGCAGCAAGAGCCCCAAACCCAAACAGTCTGTACCCACTCACTGTTGTTTAAAAGTTTCTCCATATACTTGTGTATATAAACACTCTGACGCTAGAATATGATTTGGCTTTGAGGGGACTAGCACAAATGGCTTTGGTGACTTACATCATGCTTAGAAGTCTAATCACAGACACTCTTGTCATATCAAGCAGAAAAAGTCCATTTCATAGCGAGCTGCATTTTGAAAAAAAAGCAAAAAGGGGGAAAAAGGGAGGGAAGGGTAAACAAGCTTGGCGTTCCACAGTCACCACAGAATTCATCATTCATACAAAAAAATACCCCAAGCCCCAAAGTAGAGCTAATTTAATCCAAGAGGAATAAAACTCCATTTCATAGAAGTCGTCCATTCAGAACACTCAGATTTCCACTGAGCAGAAACCCCCGGCTGAAATTCGAGCAGACACTTTTCGGAAGGAATGCATTCGGTGGGTTGAGGGCCAAAGCTTGCCCTGTAATTTGTGAATGTACAGAAATGTGTGACCGCCGCAGCTCCTCTAAAGATAGAAATCTTTGTCTTATGTCATCGCTGAACCTCAAACTATTTCTAATTGCCCCCATAGCCCCCTTTTCCAAATGAATAGCTACCCATCCAAAGGCTTATGTGTGCATGTCTGAAAATAGCCTGGGAGTTTACACAGGCTAATAGATCATATTCGAGGGGAGAAAAAAAAAGAAAAACTTTAAAGAGATCTCGACATATCTGAGACTGTCCCCATCTTCAAAGTGGCTTTTAAGTGGCACTGAAAGCAGTGTGGTTGGCATTTAGAGCCAGGTATACCTTTACAGACCCCAAAGGCTTTGCTGTTTCTCCACTAATAGGGATCATACTCATATTAGTCTTTACAATCTGACTCATTGCACACAGAACCCAAAGCAAGCAGGGTTTCCTTTGGCTTTAAATTCACAGAAGACTTTGTAAAGATTCCACAAAACCTTTGAACTCCTTTTTTATTTGTATTTCAACTTGTCCAGAGTGTCTAAAATGCCCCATTTCAGATTTGTTTTACTGCGGTGCTTCAGACAGACTGTGTGATGCTTTCTGATGCTGAGGAGACCCCTTCTTTTGTTCTGATTCAGGCCAGGAAAACAGATGAAGGCAACTTCTCAACCACAGGTTTTCACAGAGCAACCGTCAGTAAACAATGATGTGATTTCTTGATTTATATCTGAAGGATCTGTTTTCTTTTCATCCCTGAATGCTCAAGAATCTTATACGCTGAGGCCTTTTTGAGGTGGGTCCTGGGTTTCACATGTCCTCCAGGAGTTCTGTCTTGATTTCAGGCTCAGCCCACTCGGATCATTAAAAATCGTTCAGGGGCACGGCGGGCTCCGTCCTCGATGCCTGTGCGGCTGAAACTGTAGAAACTGCATGTTGAAATGTGGAGGTCTAAATGTGACAGGCGCCCGGAGCGCACATTAAGGCTGAGTGGGGTATAGCTGGGGCGTGTGGTCACATATTAATAATGAACTAGGGCAGGAGGATGACTAAAATACCACCAGCATTGTCATTGTCCCAGTCCAGCTGTGCTTTTTTAAAATAGAGGCAGTGTGACAGCTAATCTGATCCGATTTATTTATTGTTTTAATTCAGGGAGGTCAGGTTGTACAGCTCTATTTTGGATTTGGAGATTTCTCACATCAGGTAAAAAAAAAGAAATACCAACAATGTCAACACATAAAGCAATTATTTATGCTGCTGTCTTCTGTGAACCAGGGATAAGTGTGATGGTGGCTTTGCTACCATAAAATATTTCTTTTTTTTTTCTCATGTGCTTTCAGTGCGTAATTTTTTTCAAAGCTTTGCTCAAACCCTCTGAACCGCTGTCCTACATTACAAAAAACAAGCAACCACAGACAAGGAGTGTGAGAGTGTTAAAACAAGCCTGCACATTAATATTTCTCACAACATTCAGCCCAGAAGGAAAGAGAGAGAACGGCACGCAGGTAGAATTTCACAGAATTTATTTAGAGAACTAAAGTTTAGCAACACTTGGCTGGCACTCTGCGCACACGGTTGTGCAACGTTACCATTGTAAATATTAATGAATGTTGCACAGATGCGCCAACAATGATCAACTGATGTTTGCTGATAGCTATTAGGAAATAAAATTGAGTTTTCAGACGATTTTAACATCTTAAAATTTTAGAATGGTGTTTATATTGTTTCTGTCTAAGCTCTGCATCCTGCTGTGTGACTGCAGCTCTGATCACTGCGGCAGGAAAGGTTAAGGGAAACCACTCCGACGAGCTACTTAGCTGCTCTTAATTAATTATATTGCAAACAAACAGCGTTAAAAAAACTGCACACACACTATGAAAATTTTACTAAAACATATATTCGCTGAATTTAATTCATTAATTATTATTTTACGTTTTGTGGCATTTTTAAATCAAAACTACCAAATTTCTAGAGCGTAATGCTTTCTCTCCTAATCGATCACTCCTCGCCAAACTCAGTAAAATGTGCACACGGTATTTTTAAGCGATGTTTAAAAGCCTGCCTGTGCATTTAAAATGAATTACAGCAGACACACACACAAAAAAACTCTCAGAGAATTGAATCTATAAATGATGTATGTAGACGCGCAAATATCGCATTTTATTCATTCAGTTGGCTTCAATGAGAAGTTTTTAAACGAATAAATGTGCGTGCTCTAATAAGGATTTTTATTTCCCGACAATAACACATTTTATTGTGATCCGGGCAAATATCTCACACGTGGATGTGAATATGAAAATGCCCGGGGAGCAAATCTCCCACCAGCTAAACAGAAATTCCCCCCAAAAATCAAAAATATGTTTAAGCGTTTGGCCTAAAGTCGAAATTAATTCAGATTTCCGACTCATCTCAGGGAGCAGATAAAAGTTTCCTCTGCAGATGTGAAATGTCTGCTTCTCAGACCGCCGGGGCTGTCAGCGATTGAAAAGGCAAATGCGCCAACTAGTGTCAAAAAGTAGCACGGCGGAAGGCTTTAGCAGGGTGTGCCGTCATTTGATGTAACCCTCAACATTTCTAATGAATTCAGCCTCTGGCACACACGCATTGACTCTGTTATGTTCTTTGATGTGGAAAAAACACATTTGCTTGTTTGCTTTAATTTTTTTTATTGAATTCCGCTCAGTCAATTAAAATGATATGGATCTATCTTAAACCCATAATTTCACTTTATGAAAATTTAGAGATGGTGCGAAGCCTCGAGATATAATAGCGTCTAAAATGAATAAATGAGATTGAAACCGCAGACCTGTGCAGTCTCGGGCCTTCTTTAGATCACTTCCAAACAGCTGAGTTCAGAGGAGGCTGTGTGATAAACCAGCGTGGAGATAAAGGTGCACACCTTTGATCTTATATAATATTTTAACGATTAAGGTGGTGCCCTGTGACACTCGGGATTTACAGTAAATCTCCACAGAAGCCAAACGCAGGATTTATTCTTAAGCGCTATAGTCCATTAAATTCGCCATTTAAAGCATCTGCTTATTTCATTAATAGTCATAATAAAAATAATAATTTAAGCAAAAGTATTTGCTTGCATGCTGGTTTTGTTTTCGTAAGTTATATCTGGCGTCTCTTATTCTGAAAAAATAAAATAAAAATAAAACATTTCCTCTTAACGCACGCTGTCTCCTGCTTTCTGTTTCATGTAAAAAGCGTGTGTAGCGCATAAAAACACAGAGAAAAGCAGAGATATGTATCAATAATTTAGATCGTGTGTGTGACAACAGTGCATAGCTGCAGAGGGAGCACCGGCGAGTTTGATTGGTCTGATGAAAGCCCAGCCCAGTAGATTCATTGGTCGAAATCATCTCCACACTCCCAACCACTAAACACTAAAATGACTAGGGTAAAATAATATCGCGGCACTCTGCACCCTGTTCATCCTCACGGCTTCTTCTTGCGCCCTAAAGGATAACTTTTAAAGGAAATCCAACTGGAGCGACAGGATCGTTCCCATTATTCCAGAGTTGTGTTGGTTTTGGGTTTTTTTTTTTTTTTGTGGGAACACCTAAACTGGGATACGGTTGCGAGAACTTTTACGCAAGAAACAGGACATCGCTGTGCTTTAACTGCAGTTTGACTGTAGATATTCGAGTTTGAGAAATTTAATTAGACTTTTTTGTTTTGTTTTGTTTTTAAACCAGCGGTGAAAAAAGTTTCTGGTGAAATCAGCGGGAGGCGTCTGCTTAAAAAGAAAATCGCTGTTTAGTCGAGACATTTTTTTGGTTTTAGTTAGGCGGATTAATTTTTTTTTAATATATCGCGCCTGGATTACCTGTGCCAACAGACTCTTACCGATCTGCAGAAAAATATTTGGGAGATTCATTCACTTATTTGCGAGTTTGAGTGAGTTCTCGGGCAGTTTGTGGTGCTTATATTCAGTTCTCACGCGGCAGAAAGAAATCCACGGTGTGCGGCAGACGCGAGCACCGATATAAGACAAGCTGAGCGCTGCCGCAGAGCTTTTATTTGCACGTCTTTGCTGAAATTAGAGCAAACCTTGTCGGCTCTGGTGCTGCTCGAGCCGACACATCATGTGCAGATGATCTAGCCACACAGTCACCAGTTTGTAGTTTCTGTTCAGGTAGCGAGGCTCTTTCCACTCTGCGCTCTCGCCTCCAACCTTTGCGCCAACACAGTGGACTCTTGACACCAGCATCGTCTGGAGAGACAGACAAAAACTTTTCCCTCCAAAGAGTTTTGCTCCTCTGATCCGACCCAGTCAGGTGGCACTGACCCAAGCTGTTGTGATGCATATTCCCGTAGAGCCGCCGACCACCAGACGGTTCACGCCGCCCTCCACATCCTTCCCCTGCAGCAAGATTGGAGACAGCAACGGGGCCATGGCCACCGCAGGGCCCATCAGGTCAAGACCGGACACCAGGAACGTGGTGGACGTCCTTGCGGACCACGCGGGCGAGCTGGTCCGGACCGACAGCCCGAACTTCCTCTGCTCTGTGCTGCCGTCTCACTGGAGGTGCAACAAGACGCTCCCCGTGGCTTTCAAGGCAAGACACATCGCTCCTTATTATCATGTGTTATGTTTTTCATTTAATAATTCCCACTGCAGGCCTCTAACTTCCTTAAATGTACGAGTAAAGAAAAAAAAAGAAGAACAAAAAATAAATAAATTAAAACCAAGCAAATGGGACTTGAGGAAGTAATCCATTTTCTTTTATTTAGAATTATCTGATGGGATTTTTGGGTGACTTTCAGTTTTTGCTTTGAGTGAAATTTTAAAAATCAAATCGTAAAAATAACATTTGCTTTTTTAGGCTTTAAATTGGACAATAAGGGATAAGAAATTTAAGTGCAAGTAGCAAGAGAAGCTGAATTAATATTTTGTACCTTTATTTGTTTCTGGATTACGCAATGTTGACGCTTCCTGAGTCAATTCTTGTGTTTTTATCAGTTAACTGTCTTTGTCATGTGTTCGGATCCGCTCGGATGAGGACATCACAGTCACAGAACATGTAGTGAAATTTATATGATTTCTTTGTTAACGTGATGACATTGTCTACTTTAAAAAAATCTCCAAGCTGCATAATTCAATCAGCAGTTTATTGTTGACATTGTGTTCAAATTGTACAATGTACGATTTCTAACTTAATATTACGAAACAGTCGGATGCGGTTTTACGCGCGCATTGAGCACATTTGCTTTGATGACCCGAGTGACCAGCATCTTTTTTTCCCTCTCCTGCGCTCAGGTTGTGGCTCTTGGTGACGTCCCCGACGGGACTCTGGTCACCGTGATGGCCGGAAACGACGAGAACTACTCGGCCGAGCTGAGGAACGCCTCGGCTGTAATGAAGAACCAGGTGGCTCGCTTCAACGACCTGCGCTTCGTGGGCAGGAGCGGACGAGGTGAGCGTAACCTCTGAAACTCTCTCTCTCTTGTTCTCTCTCGCTCTCTCTCGCTCTCTCTCGCTCTCTCTCTCTCTCTCTCTCACACACACACACACACACACACACAGGCCTGCACACAAACGATGAGGGAATGTCTGCGTGTAATGCATTTGAAAACACATAATAATAGATCATATTTCTGGGCACAGAAAAAAACAAACAAAAAACGAGTGACAACATATTATTTTTGAGAGAACGCGGATGATATGAAACTAAATATTTTTGCACAGGCTGCACCGCTGCGCGTATTAAAATACAGCTCGCGCATAAATACTTTTCTGTCAGTTTTGGGGATGATTTCTGTTGCTGAGATAATTCTGCAAATGTGGAAGCGTTTATGTTTGGGTACGACGAGTGCCCACACCTTGCCAACTGACGTCCACGGGTGTCATCAGAAACATCTGGCCTGCGTCACGGTATGCAGCTGCAATGTGGCTGTATAATTTTCTTAATCCGAGGGAATACAAATAATCATCGACGTGGTGCAAATCGGAGGGATGGATGAGAAACCACCGTGCAATTTATGTCCCGGGGCAATTTGTCAAATAATCCCCGCCACCATTTAGGATGCGTGCATCTTATGGACTATTGCGCACTATTTATCACGGTTATTGCGTTTAATTGCTGTATAAAAATTCCCACGTCAACAGGCTCGTTTCCAGGATGTTGTGGTCAAACCATAGGCCTACCGTGTACCATTTTATGCTATATTGAGAAAATCAAAACAGCGCAAAGTTCAAGTAAATATGGTCAACTTAAATAATAAAAGAGAACGATTTTAAAAGCCTCATCGGAGTCATTTCGCTTCTCTCCGTGAGGCCATTTCTGGATTTTATATTTCTATTTTTTATCTGATTGTCTTTTCCATGATTTTTTTTTAAGTAGTTCGTACCTTTTATTTCTGCAGCCAATTAGCCCACCCACATGAGGATTTTATGTCTGTCTTCCCACTCAGTCTCCATTTAACAAGGGACGCTATTCTCAGAGCCTGGGACCAGCGCCGGACTCCCTGCGTGGTCCAGCCTTCCTCTCTCTGCACTTTGATGCAGAATGGGAGCGAGAGCCTGCCTTGTTGAACAATAAACTCTTGCTGTAAGCTCTTTGGCACAATCTGGAAGACATTCCCTCAATAATCCAAATCATACCCGCAGCCAGACCGTCAAAAGAGAGCCGGTCCTTGGCTTCTTCTTTTTCTTCTTCTTATTATTTAATTTGAATTCAAAGGCTGCAGCAGCGGGACGAAAGCCGGTGATGATTTGAGGTTGAACAAGCGAAGTATTGTTGTGAGAAGAGAGAAAATAAGTTTTGCAGATGATTCTAAACGGTCGTTTACAAAGAAGAATAAATAACACTCATGAACGCGATTTGGTTGCTGTGCTGCAGGAAAGAGCTTCACTCTGACCATCACCGTGTTCACTGGACCGCCTCAGGTGGCCACGTACCACCGCGCCATCAAAGTGACCGTGGACGGACCCCGCGAACCACGCAGTAAGTGCACACGCACACGCACAAAGAGACCCACTCACACTAGCATTATTGCTAAAATGCATTGAGGTGCGATGCTGCACAGCACTGTCAGCGTCGACTCCCGATTCTCTAAGTGTGGGTGTCAGTAAACCCACTGGCTTCTTGAATGTAGATGAGAGTCTTACACTGAGCAGGCCTGAAAGCAAGTGCAAGTGCAAGTGCATTCGTGGGTGTGCAGTGCCTTGGTGAAGGGAGAGCTAGAGAATCAGTTCACACGATCAAGATGTGCTAGAAAATCCAGTTTCCCCTAGATTTCTTTTGGGGTTAAGGCTTGGGTTTTGGGGTTAAGATTAGAGTGAAGTTTGGGTTAAGCTTGGGTTATGGTAAGCCTCTAGAGAATGAATGTAGGGCAATATATTGTCCTCACTTAAATAGTAGGGTAGGCTTGTGTGTCTGTGTGTGTGTGCAGTAGGAGCACAGGGAAGGGCCCTGTCAGAGGAAACTGTAAAGCATATTAAGGCAAAACCCAAGACCACTAAGAGGAGCTGAGTGAGTCTCCAAGCCGCAGGTGGCTCAGCTCAGTGGAACCCTCCTCCTCCTCCTCACTCCTACCTTCTTCAGCGCTGGTCAGAGGGGTCGTACTGTACCTGCCTGCACAACCACATAAGTGGCTCGTTGATTTAACACAGGGCAGACTCCAGCCACCGTTAGCCCTGGCAGGAAGGCACGGCATGCTAAAGCTGTTAGCGCCATCCTTCAGCCACAGCTACATGCTCTTGTGGTTTGATGCTTCTAGTGCGAGGGATGGTGAAAGCAGAGGTACTCAGATGACTCAGTCACTGACGGTTAGAGCTGTATGCATGCATTTTTATTTTTTAATGAGCTCAAGGTGAGATAAATATGAGAAATAGGATTTTCTGATAGTTTCTATGGAGGAATCGTACTTATCAGGGTTGCTTAGAGGTGGATAACTGCGGCTTATGCGGAAGTGGGTTCTTTAGAACCGGTGAACATGGAGCACACAGGGGACAGAGAGAGTGGCAGCGAGAGCCACATGAAAGGACACGGTTAGCAAAGGGAGCTCAGGGGGCATGGAGTGAGAAGCATCAAGCCCCCCACCCCCACTCCTCACCCTGCCAAACTAAGTGCCGTCTATTTGCAGAGGTATAAAAGAGAACAGCGAGTAGATAATAATAAACGCTGTGTGTGTGTGCGGGCATGGTTTCAATTTGATTGTATTCTGTTCAAATAGAAAAAAAAGAAGCTGAATGTGTGTGCGAGTGCATCAAGTGCATTCTCTGGTTCATCTGCAAGTGTGTCGGTGTGAAATAACTGTGTACGTTAATGCTGTCTCCTGTCTGTCTGTCAACAAGTTACGGCTTCAGCTGAGGCGTCAGAGAGGCCGTGCTACTTTTACACTGGCGCTGGGTGCTATAAAGTAACACTGTTTAATTTAGGGCAGGAGGAATTTAGAGCTCCATTAAACTCTGTTACACTGTGCTGAGAGGAAATTCACAGAATGACAGAAAAGAAACGTCTGAATATGATTTCAATATTCATGAACTCGAACTAAAGCCCCCTCAATTTCAAACACGGACTGGTGGCCTTTTGTGCAAAGGTTAAAATGCACTCTGTGAGGAGACCAGGATAGAGGGAGCATTTTGAAACGCAGCACATTTATATTGTTCATTATGCTGGTTTCAATGTGGTGTGTCTGATCTGAGGCCGAGATGAGCTTAGTTCGTAAAAAAAGAAAGAAAAAAAAACTCAAAATAGAAACCTCACAAGATGAGATTAAGGGCCTCTCTTATTTAAACAAGAAGCACATTCTGAGACTATATCAGACAGAACAGGAACACACACCAACATTCAGACATTATTAGGACCATAAAATTAATCAGATCATTTTCTAACCACAAGGCAGCACATTGCAACTGTGCAACGTGTCGAGCCAAATGTTGCGAGGCGCTTCTGCCAACACACAAAACTGCATTTTTTAAAAATTATGAATGTCATCTCAGAGACAGTTTTACATGCAAAAACTGCTTTTCTTTTGGTTGTTTTTAGTCAACGATTACACACAACGATGTCTGTACATCTTGGTCAGTGCCGGGCTCACCTGTCTGCAGGCTGGCAGGCCGCTGGGCCCGGCCGTGCGGGGCTTTGCAGGCTGTTTGTGTACGGCCTGCATTTGCATTGCTGCCTGTCGAGCCATGGCAGGAGCTGGCAGCGAAGGGAAGGAGGGATTTTAATGTTTACGGATCTAGTCGAGAGAACCTGATGGACAGGACTGCAGCGGTGGCTCGCCTGCGGCAATGTAACAAAGAATGCTATGCTTGAAAGCGCTCGAGCAGTAAAGGAAACACTTACGCTATGAGTACAGTTGTGTACACTAATGTATATCCACATGCCCAGACACACAGCATCACGGTCATGAATGCACACAGACAGAATTCTGTTCCTGAACAGTATTTTTGTCTCCCTTGCTGCCGATTTCCTCATCAAACATCCGGCATTTGTCATCCTAATCCACCCCCACCCCCCAATCTATCTGTCAGACTTTAATATCAAACTTCTGCTGAGCCCAAACTGGAAGCACAACTGTCGATGAAAGCTCTCCCTCCAGTTTCGTCTGAGCTCTAACAAAATATCACATCCAGCAACAAGAGAGGGCATGCTGAGCTAGAAAAAGACAGAAAGGCAAAAAAGGAAAGCAGATGACTGAAGTGTCGAGTCCCTCCCCTGTTTGTCGCTGCTATCAGATGCCTCCACACAACAGCTCATACGCCCGAGCAGGGTTATTCTCACCGATTAATCCCTCAGCTATATTTTTGTTGCCCTTCTCACCACCTCGCTTATACATGACATCAACTGCTGCCTATTTAGCCCCGGGGGAAGGGCCCGTTTGTATTTCTGTATCTCTCAACCTGAAATGAATCAGTTCCCCGAAAGACCTTGCTGTGGGTCAAGGCAGAGAGTTCAGACAAGGGTAGGAAATGCTTGGAGCTTGAGAAAAAATAAAGCTCTTTCGTTAAGGCTGACAAATAACAAGTATATGGTGTCAAAAAAATTATATAAATTTAATATCTGACAGCAGATTAGAGACTTGTCTGTGTGTGAGAAATCAGTTCAGCTATGAGTGTGTGTTTGTAATGTCACTAACTAGAAAATAGCTTCCGCACATTTTCAGCTGAATCTTAAATATCTAGTTTTAACTCTGCCTCTGCCTCTTTGCCCTGCTGTGGAGATCCCCCCCCGCCCTATTTTTTGGAGATATGTGCTGTGCCCCATGTTTCGTTATTAGTAGCACATCATAACCAAGATATTAAAAAACTAAAACCAAACAAAATGATCCATAAAACCTTGATGTGAGCAGTTTCACGTGGGAACTATTTCCTCTTTAACTGAACTGCACCTGCCAACTATGTCAGTATGCAGAAGAAAATGCTTCTCTACCTGCAACAGGAGGGTCACGCTTGTGACAGCGTGTAAACATTAATGCTGTAACTCAACTGAGCTGTAATATTATCTAGCTGCGTGTTTCCTTTGGTTGGCGGGTGCGCTTCGGTAGAAACAAAATAGTTCCTATGTGAAACCGCTCCCAATGAGGTTTGTGGATTTTTTTTTTGAGTAACCGTGTCGTGGTTGCTGTTGAGTTTTTCAAATGAATTTTCGAGTGCCATCTCATTTAATCAGAGTAATATAATCAAGACGGATAAATAACACTAGAAGCGAAACGATGAATATGAACTGTTAGATAGATTGGCTCATTATTTTTTGTGCACGTATGAGGTGATGAGATTTGCACAGACTGTTGTTTGCTGAATGCTGAAGATGCGGCAGCTCGTTCCACCTGAGCGATGTCAAAGTGCTCATTTGTCTTGTGATACTTGAGAATGATACACGTGAAAACATCGCAACCACTAACAGAATTGCACAGCATACGTGCAGTACCTGTATACATACAGCCAGAGCTGACACACTTTCCCACCAACACAGGCCCACGCATCCAAAATCACACAAGTACTGTCGTGTTTTGTTGCCTGTGTTTACTCGGTTGGGTGTGTTCCTACAGCTCCATGAGGAGAATGGTGGGCGTAGGGAGGTAGTCAGGGAGGGAGGGGAGGGGGTCGGGTGCATGTTAGAGTTGGCGGGTTGATTTTATTTGCATTTGGCACACAGACTGTACAAGGTATGCAAATAGACAAACAATGACATTTGCTGTGTTATTTTTCCTGTGATATTGCAGTCGCTCTGCAAAGTAAACAAAGAGATAGCATGAATGCTGCTGCGTATGCATTTGCGTGTGCGGGTGCCCAGCTTATGCACCTGCCAGGTGCATCTCTTTAAGTGCAGCCACGCCCATGCTCCGCAGATCACATGAAAGGATCCCCCTCGGTGCGAATTGCTCTCTCAAAGAAAACTTTGATGTTTGAAAATGGAGATGGGTGTCTTTGAAAGAAAGGCCTACAGGTGTATCAGTGCCACGGGAGGGGGGGGAAGCGGCGTGCGTGATGCCGGGTGCTTTCCTGACTACGAGATGTTATAACCTGGAGACATAGCGGCCTGCTCATGCACACAGTCACACATACACAGACAAATAGTGGCGAGCCTCAACGATCAACCTCATGACCACCTAATTTATGATTTGGTTGAGACGAGAGTCTGCCTGAACACCACACAGAGACAGATGGGAACTGATAAAGGGCAGATTTTATATCTTTTCGAAGAAATGACACTCAGTGGCGTCTGCACTGACTGGAGCCTGTCGACTGTGGTCTTTCTCCCCCCCGGGGTCACTCCAGATGCATCATACTTGGCTTCAGTGATTAGACGTAGAACAAATATTGGCTAACTGATAAATCCACTGGAATGCAGTGGTACATATTGAATAGTTCTGAACTGATTTCAGAGAGGAACTCGTGTACTGGGACAAACCATCCACCGCATTTTGAGCTTTCAGACTTGTGACGGGAAGCAGATGAGGGCCATATCATACATATCCGTAAGCTTTAGAAGCA